TCGCTTTTCTTTGTTGCCGCAAAATTACTGTTTCTTCGATAAACTTTACGTTGGTCATCAGCGTGGTAATTGATAACGGTTTATGTGTCTGTAATATCGTGCGAATGATGTATAGGTATATACGTAGAGGGCGGCTATTGGGCAGTCGAGAAAAAGTAATATCGTACCTCGTAGCTGCCAGTCTACAGGCATACAATAGAAGCCTATGTGAAAACTGGTTGGCCGCGTTGGAGAAGAATTTATTCTATTCTTCGTCTAACGGACTTTTTACGCTCCAAATATTCACGAGTTATAACTGTACAGTCTCTGATATAGATTGTTGCAATATACATTGTTTCGAAAAGTCATACCAAACGCTGCGCCGTCTGTTTCTGAATATTGGTAACTTTTCAGCCGAAGGAATGCAGAAACCTTAGGACATGTCTATAGGACGGAAGAGAGGGGAGAGTTGCCTGATGAATTCGTGTTGTTGACCCTGATGTTGTGAAACAATGTAACTCTTTTATTTTTATCTTTGCCTTTTGGCCATTCTTTATTTTTTACTCCGACGACCGATTCTCTACTTTCATTAGTTACCTATTTATCCGCCGCTCGTGGCGCCATCTGTCTTGTTTTTTTCTCGGCAATTACCTCACGCGCTGCCGATTATTAAGCTTGCACGAGGCGAGAGAGACGAATGATCTAGGACAAAGAAATTGGGAGAAAGTCATGGCGCGATGTGGATAGAAACCGAGATAGAGAATCTCTAACGGCGAGGCTTTGGAAGTAAGAGGGTAAAGAGGAAATATACTTGGGTTTATTTGCATTCTTGACTGACGCCATAATTAATGGTTACGTATTGGGATCTAAAATTAACACAAAGCTGTGTACGAGATAAGCCGTACTGCTTTCGTCTCTGTCGTTTTCCTGCCTCTTGTATCTCTCTCTCTCTCTCTCTCTCTCTCTCTCTCTCTCTCTCTCTCTCTCTCTCTCTCTCTCTCGCTCTTAGGATATCTGTTGCTTCTTCCTCTGCGCTCGGCGCATGCCGAAAATAAACTGAAACTCTTGACGAATCGGTCGCGGCGCGTGTCGAGGACACTTTTGAACATCCGTAGACTCGAATTTGACAAACTCCCTTTTATCGCTCGGTTTCCTACGACTGTCGTTTTCGAAACGTGAAAAATATTTTACGCGAACAGTTCGGCCTGCCGGTTGCGAGGGAGTAACTTTTCAAGCCAACTCTTTCTTCTCCCTCTCGCCATTTGTCGAGTCGCTACTTCAGACTGTCGCCAGAATCGAGGGTGGCGCGGTTCTTGGCATTCCTTGTTTTTTTACACCCCTTTCTCTCTCCCTCCCTCCCTCCCTCGTCCAAATTACAAATCGATTCCAACCAGGCACCCCGCCTTGCCCTTCAATCTGCCTCCCAAGGTACGCCACACTCCGTGCTGGCTGTTCCACTCGTGCAGATACGAATAATTGACAGAGACGGAGAAGAAGCCACGAGGTATCATGAAACACGAGGAGGGTCGACGAGTAACAAAAACGTAGACAGACGTCGCGGCAGTCAAGAGGCTCGAGCACCGTTCAAACTATCGATCCGAGTTCCGTCACTGAGCCAAAGATTCAATAATTTTTATTTATTTATTCCCAACTCCCAATCTATCGAACCGGAATATTTTGCATGTTTATATTAACCAGAATTACGTAACTAGCCGAGTCGTTGGTAATTTTGTTTTTCTAACTCGTTTCCCATGTGCAACGTGCTTGCGAAGGTCGCTAGCGTCACTGACGCGTAGGGACTTGATATTTACACAGGCTAGCTACCTGCTGGTACAAAGGGTCTCTATACCCGTTTGGGACTGGTAAAATAACGGGTGACGCTCTTTTCGATATTGGTCGAAGGCCGCACGCGGGCACGTCGAATGTCTATAGGGGCTCTTGAAAGGTTATGTACAGTTGGCCAAAGTGGATGACAGTGGAAGAAGGTTACAAGGGGGTGGCTCCGAGGGGTTAAGAAGCTTATGGCGATTTGATGTCGCACGAATGGAAAATTAAAGCCATAGGAAATTCTGGCTTTATCGTCTCTCCGATCCCATTACGGTGTGACTTATTTTTTTTTTAATTTAAAAAAATATGACGTCATCCGGTCACCAAGATATATGAGAATAATAGTGTGAAATCGGGAGATTAATATGTATACGACAAAGGAACACAATCTACGACACATAGTATAAATAAAATTGTTATCTCTTTCGTGAATATTACCATAGGTTATCGCCTAATGGATATAAACAGATGTAGAAAATCCCTAACAATTGACCCGAGAAACGATATGGCGTGGGCTCTTGATAATTTGTTGGAAACATCGGCCTTTTTTATTGTTATCGTTGGTCGTTTAGATAAGAGAATTTTCAAACTAACAAGATACTGTCTTACAGAGAGGTTCTGTTTGGATTACAGATGTGGATATATATATATATAAACACGTGCTGCATGTATGAAAAATCAAAATGGGAACATACCGACAGGTTATTATTTTTATATCTGATTATTTTATTAAATTTTTTTTTATTGATAAAATTCCGTACAGGTATTTAACGTAGTTAGTGCTTATCGGTACGAGTAGTTTATCGCTGATCCACGAAGTCTGTGGCGGACACGAAAGAAACGTGTTTGCAAGAAGTATGGGCAAAGTCAATTGCCGGAATTGTCCGACGGTTGACGTGCAGCGCCTTTAAACGATCATGTCCTCAATCTAGAGTAAACGTTTCGTAATTTTGAATGCTCGTCTTACAAGCCCCCTCTTGGCATTTGCTTGGCCTTATGCAAACGAGCTCCCATTTGAATAATCAAATAAAACCAGCAAAGTATCAATGAACGGAGAAAACGTGCTTTACGATTGATTTCTTACGTGTTTCACTTTTTTTAGCTGTTCTGTCGATTAAGGCGGTACAAGACTTTTTTTGACTTTGGTCACTTTCGATCTTTCGTGATAATTTTTTTTTTCTTTTTTTTTTACGCAATATTCAGATCGGTGTATTGTTTTCTTGGCGATACGCAGCACAGTGAAATGAAGTTTTTCGACGTTTGACGGCTTGATTAGGATTTATCGGTATCGATTGCTTTGGATATCGTATCTTTTTCGTGTATTAGTGATTCATCGAAGTAACGTGTAAAAATAAATGTTTTATTTTTTTTATCATTTTTTTTCGACCTCCGTATAGATAGTCAACTAGCATCTTTTTCTCGCCCTTCCGCTTAGGTATGCACAATTTATAGACTTACATGGATTTTTGATTTTTTCCATATCGAGCCGATGCGTTATATCCGGTGGGAGAAAAAAAGCAACGTTAAAAATCCCACTCGAATTCGAACGATGACACTCGGTGATGTCATCGTCATTGCGTAATCACCCCGACCGTGTTAAAAGATACGCCGCGCGATCGCGTTGACCATTTATGACGTGAAGTCACGCGTCAGTGCGAATTCGTTTCGCCTTGAATTAACGTGTTCGATTGTCACTTCGTGAGTATCGAAGAAAAAAAGAAATCAAATTTTTTACCTGAGTACAAAATCATTTTAAAATGACAATTATACCTGGAAGAAAGAAAGTAAGAGAATATCTAGTCCCTTGTACGTTATTATATTGTTTAATGACGTCATCTTTCTTTTTTTTAAAAGGAATTCGAGGTAATTTTGAGATTTCTCGCGAAAGCTCTTCCTTGGCGAGTCCTAAGCGCCGCAGGAGTTACATAAGCTCGTCGTGGGAAGGATTGCCAAGGATGCTGCTCGCTCCTCTCTCTCTGTGTCTTATCCGCCGCGGTTTAGTTTGGCCAAAGCTCTTGGCGTGCTTTTCACAGGGCATCGCTTGAGCTTTCGCTCTGGATACTACTTCACGTTTATCTCGCGGAATTTCGTGCCGGGCACGTCCTTCGTGCTAAAGTGTCATTGCTATTAATTCGACAAACAAGTATCGCGCACGGACTATAGAACATTCGGATTCTACATTGATAGATGAAAGTTTAAGTCAGTTTTTTCTAAGGAGTGAATTCATACTTGCTTTTGAAGTAACGAGTCAGCCTTTCCACTCGGAACCACTTGCCAAGGGCATTGCGCAATGGTGCAATTGGATAATAACTACTCCTTGGATATCGTGGCATCCATTTTGATTTTTATTAACCCAAGGGATCGACGAACCGAATAAATTGTGTATCTTCCGAAAAGTCGTTTTTTCGCTTGGTATCGGTTATTTGGAGAAACTAGATTGGTAATAGGCAAGCAGCTGTGCAACGGAACATATGCGCGTGCACCAGGCCTATAAAGTCTTGCGCAAGGAATAATAAAATTTTAATATCCTCGTACAGCAGGTGACATCGATATGAGTTAACGTTCTTCGTGACGCAGCTTGGAACAAATAGAAGTTTGAGTTCGTCGTTGAAGCGGGACACCTGGGATTAATTCACGCAATTTTGTAGACTGCCTTTTTTTTGGCTCTCTCGAATAGTCATGTGACGTTCGTGCAGACTGATGGTGGTAGCTGATAACGGTTGGATGGTCAGGGAACGAATAAGTAGGCACTGCGAGAAGTTTGATTTTGGATACTGTGAAAAAAAAGGGGAGATTTCGTGGCGTGAAAATAGCTACAGCCGCGATGCTCCACTTGACTTTATTTGCGAATGTGGTAAACCAGGCGATTTTGAATACACTAATCAATTACCCAGATCTTATAGAGGATTTTGAGGTGGAATTGGTGAGTTTGTGGATCTGGTTTGAAAAAGTATTTGAATAGTTAATATTGTATGTTAGCAAATGATAAGGATTTTTTTTTTTAATCCAGACGGTCTTTGAGTTCTGAATTATCTAGGGTGCTCGAACGATAAGTACCAAATCGAATTTCCAGAATTAGTCAGAAGGTCAAGCAGTTTTGAGTATTAGCATCTGCTCGAACGTTCTGTATATTGAAAATTCTATATTATTTGTACGGCAGTTATTTAAGTGTCACCACTTTACGAATGTTTCAGTTGGTGTTAGCTGGGGGAGGCTCGAGGATGGCGGACACGAGTCAGCAAGAGCTCTCGGAGCCGCACACCAATGGAGTCGTGGACGGTTTGACGGAGGAAGAGAAAAGCAAAATGAGACCGGCTGATATCGATGCGGTGAGTGGAAAAGGATTTTTTAATAAAGAATTGCGAGCGTGAAATTGTAATAAAATATGTTCTTTCTTCAGGACATGAGAGAGATGGAGAGGAGGAAGCGCGTCGAGATGATGATGAACTCACGACTCTTTAGAGAAGAGCTGGAACGCATCATCGAGACTCAAATGAAAGATGGTTCGGGACCTTCCGGTCTGTTGCAACAGATTTCTGACATTATGGGCGGCCAAGGAGCTAGATTCAACACCAGTGTGTTCAAAAGTAAGACTTTCATCTTCTTCAATGTTTCTTTGGGCTCTATGAAGGTCGTAAAAGCCTTTTCTAAACAAGTAAATGTCTTTCAGACTCAAACTGCGTGGTGCCGATCAATGATATTCGTGGAGTAGAAAGCATGGGTTACGCCAAGGGCGAGAAGCGTCTTCGGTGCAAGCTTGCAGCAGTCTTCAGGCTCCTTGATCTCTATGGATGGACTCAGGGTATCGGTAGTCTCATCACTGCCAGACTCAATCAGGACCAGGAGCACTTCTTGGTTAATCCCTATGGACTGCTGTACCACGAGGTCACTGCTTCCAGTCTGGTCAAGGTCGATATGCAAGGTGCAGTGGTTGAGCAAGGCACCACGAATTTCGGGGTCCACGTTACTGGATTCCAATTGCATTCAACGATACATGCTGCGAGACCTGATATCAAGTGCATTGTTCACATAACCACTCCGTCCGTCATAGCTGTGAGTATTGTCATTTGTTGATCTGAAACTTTGACCAGTTAATCATTCTAATCATTGAAATGCACGATTGGCGTTGCAAAGAGCGTAAACGTTTATTATATAGTGAGAATTCATGGATGAGACGAATTCTTGTGTTTTATTGATTTATTAATTTTGGAGAACTTTTAACTAATCTTCAATGTATCCCAGGTCTCTTCCCTGAAATGTGGCCTACTCTCCCTCGGCCAGGAGAGCATAGTGATTGGCGAAGTTAGCACCCATCAGTACATCGGTGGAACTTTCGAGCCAGAGGAGCGTGAAAAAATTACGAGGAATCTTGGTCCCATAAACAAGGTTATGTTCCTCACGAATCGTGGCGCGTTGTGCTGCGGTGAGACCGTCGAGGAAGCTTTCTTCAACGTTTACAACACTGTAATGGCTTGCGAGACGCAGTTGAAACTGATGCCCGCTGGACTCGAGAACCTCAATCTCGTATCTGAAGAGTCGAGGAAGGCCATCTTCGATGCTTCAAGAAAGCCGCCGGTACCCCAACAGGTGTCCGTCGCAGATTCTGCAGCGCTTGCTGAGAAACTCGAGAAACGATGGAGAATCGGTGGCACTGAATTCGAGGCACTCATGCGAATGCTCGACAACGCGGTAAGTTGGATCTTTTATTTTTAATCTGAGAGCGTGAGATAAAGAGTGACAGCTGTCATTGAAATAAAGTATAATCAAAGTATGAGATATAATTGATATAATATCAATAAAAAGAATAAGATATAATATCAGTAATAATCAATTGATGTTCCTTTTTTCAGGGTTTCCGCACCGGTTACATTTACAGACATCCTCTGGTCAAGGGCGAACCTCCAAGACCACGAAACGACGTGGAGGTACCCCCAGCGGTATCTTCCTTGGGCTACTTGCTCGAAGAAGAGGAACTCTACAGGCAAGGGTAAGCATCATCATTCACTTTGTTAATTTTACATTCTTGAAAGCTTTTTTTAAATGTGAATATTGACGAAAAAACGAAACGAAAAGTATTTGACAATCAACGGCCTTTTTTCTTGTTCCGTTTTTCTCAGGTTATGGAAAGGTGGCCGCAAGGGTACTGACAGATCACGCTGGCTGAATAGTCCAAACGTTTACCAGAAAGTCGAAATCCTCGAGACCGGCACGCCCGATCCGAAGAAGATCACCAAGGTAGAAGTCATTACTTTTGAGAATAAGAAGGAGGAGAGTTAAGTAGGTTTCAGGGTCTTGCGATTTTACGTTCTGGTTTTTTGTCTTTTTCTTTAAAAAAAAATTAAAAATCAGTAACAAGCATACATTTTTGCCCTACACTCGAATACTACATTGCCAACGACGAATCGAAATTAATACATTGCACGTACGATGCATCGATAATTTCAGGATATAATACTATTTGCAATATTCGATGAAACTAATTTTATTATTTACGTCTTTTACTTGGAAAGTCATCGATTCGTCGTTTGCCTGTCCGCCGTTCAATTATCTACTGATGAATTTATTTAATGATAACACGAATGATAATATTAACGTAAATAATACAATGCCGATAGCGCGAGTTAATACCCTTGAGAGAAAATTTAACGAGTGACATAAAAATGTCTAATTATACGTTTTAACCCGTCGTGTGTTAATATCTTATATGAATAATCTATTGAGATGTCTACGTGTTTCCCTAATTACTAAACGAGGACGATGAGTGTGAAAGAGACAGAAAAATATCGAAATAAAAAAAAAGAAGATAGTATAATACCGTTAAACGAAACAACACATGCTTCGCAATTTAACATTTATCCGGGGCGTAAATATTAAGGCTAACTTCTAAGCAAAAACATACGTAATACGTTCTGCATATGTACGTACTATAGTTACCTTCTTGTAGTGTGCTAAAAGTACGTCACGTATAACGAGCAATGAATTAGGATTTTGCATAATACGTTAATCCTCTCTCGTTATAATATTTTTTTTTCCCAATGCCTTAGCTTCTCAATCTTTTTTTACAAAATTTTATTAATTTTCTTTTTACAATCAATTTATACTCTACTTAACTTTAACCTTGATTTTTTTAGTTTAAAAAAATCATTGTACACCTCGCCCATTCCTATCGCATTCCAGTTGACGGCATTCCAAAATGTTAGCCGAAAAACGATCAAAAGCTTGAAACCCATATAGAGCAGAAAATAAGTTTTAGGAAGTAGGGCTTTGTTAATTGTTAATAATATCAATATACAGTGAACACGTGCAATGATGAATTATGCAGAATGTTCGAGAAGCATTTTACGCACGTGTTACTTTAATTTATCTGGAAAAAAAATGTTTTTTAAAATTTTTAATCCATTCACTAATACGTGTTTTTTTTTCATATCAGAGTAAATGTTCTCACCGATATCTTTGTTTTCTTGCAATTGCGGTATTGAGCCAAAAAGAAGTACCTTACCGTCTTGATAACAATTTTGGAAAATGTTTTTTCGAGCATTCTGTACTCTTCTTGATTCCCGTGTAGCATTTACTATATACTCACGTGGAAAATGCGGGAATAACAAAGAGTAAGGATTTATAAAGGAGCTGTATATCTCGCGTTATAATAGATCTACAGTTTATACAATAGTGAGAATTCAGTATGCCATTAAATATATATATATTTTTTTCTTTATAATTTTTATCCTTCGAAGCTATAACAGAATCATGTTGAATGTATTTTTTTTTTTAATTGAACTATTTTATCACTAATTTTAATTCTGACCGTGCCACACGAAGTATAGATGTTTAAGGATGATCCTTTGCGCTTGAATAATTATTGTTTTTTGGTTGTTGTCTTCTGTCGATGAATAGTCATTGGTCATACGCCAAGTAAAGTCATAGTCGTAAGCGCCTTGGTACTGAAAGATTTACGATTTACGTATTAAATGGCGAATTTCTTTGAGGAAAAAAAAAAGAAGAAATTGTAGGAAATACACAAATTGATTATTTCTATCGAACACTTTGCATGCCGCTTAACTTTAACATAAGACATCAACGATTTGTTTCCCTTCTGTAGCTTCTTGATGTTCAAATAAAGGTACATTCGTCAAACGGAAAAAGGATCATTTTCGCGGGAATTTTTAAACTGTGTGGTATGCCGTATGTTGTGTGAGAGTGAGCGTCGCAATATAAATACACAAACACATAGATACACAGAGACGATTCATAAAAATATAGTTAAAATAAATGATTAATGCTAGAGTTAGATTAGTTTCTGGCGGATTGGAGAGAGTGAGAGAGAGAGAGAGGATATGAAATTTTACTCGCGCCGCTATTATTTTTGAAAACGTTAAAGTTAACCAAAGTGTACTTATACACGTAGAAAAATAGGATTTTAAAGAAAAAGATACAGAAACGCGATTAGTCATTATTTTGAAAGAGTTTATATTAATTATTTTCTAATGTCGACACTTATGGCTTATTTCTTTCTTTTTTTTCTCATTTATAGTGGGTGGATGCAAACGCAGAGGAGGTAAATCTCAACCTACGTTTTCCTCTTGGAACGATATCTCAAACTAAGTCACTGATTTTTCATATTTGTATTTTTTTCTTGTATATACATCGCATACTTTTAATATTAGCTACTCATATCTCGGTGGTTAGTCCTTTAGATTGTTAAAAGAAAGCATTGGTATCTGTACGGGGCTTAGGCATTGCCGCATCTTCAGCTTCATTATTACTCTTGTCCTTTTGAAGTTAACTTCATCATCTTCATCGTTATAATTTCTTTTCATAGACGCTGTTATCTTATTATCATTTATCGCTGTTTCGTTATCGTACCAACATTTTTATATTTGCTAATTATAATTTTGATTCGGGTCATTTGGATCGCATACAAATATGTATATAGAAATCTGTTAACGTATATTCAATATGGCTATACAGTATATTTGAATACTTGGCGCGAGATTTGACCGAGTCTCGTGATCATACTAAATTTTTGAGAATGGCAGCAGCTTTGATTTGCCGTCAAAGAAGATTTTGCTGTTAATTTGTCTGTTTTGCGTTTGAAAAATTTATTGCTTGTCTGTGAAATATTGAAATTGTGAGAATCGTCAGTTTTCGTAAACAAAAATTCATTAGATCATTTTTTAATTTATTTTCATGATCGAATCGATTCGTTGCTGTTGCTTGGCGCAAATAACTGTGGTCTAGGATCGTCTCTTTCACACGCACTGGAAAAAGTGTTTTTTGAATATATATTATTTTTTGTGATGATCGATTGTATTCTAAAGTCTTATTTTCGAAGAGCGTGTGAAAGGGTTGCAATGTAATGCAAAAAACATTAGCTACGATTCCTAATTAGTCTAATGAATTTTTAATTAATCATACGTACCATTCAAGACGAAGGAATGAAAACGTACAACACCACACAGAAACATATAAACTCACGAGAACACACGTTTCGTATGAATGTGTGCCTGTTTGTAAATCCGAGATTAAAACAGAAAAAAAAAGGAGCAAAAATAGTGGAAGTAGAAGTAAAGAAAAAAAAAGTCTCGCTCGTCATCCACTGCATCCACAAAACCAGATCTTTGCCAAAGTTCGTTTGCGAATTTCAAAGAGAGAAATTATATAATTTCCTGATAACTTTATCATGGCACAGAATTAAAACAGAAATTTCTGAAAATCTCGTATCGAATTTGTAAATAAAAAAGAGATACAAAGTAGCTCAGTTACATTGACAACATTTTCAAATATTTGCATTCGTCTGGTCGATTGAAAAATTGTCTTTCTCTTTGGAGAGACCCGATCATTGTCGCGAGTTGAACCAAAACGTCAGGCACACATTGAATACGAGAGTTGTTCTATTCGCATTTGAATTTTTCACAAGTGTATCTTAAGCGACTCCCCTTGAAGAAAAAAAAAAAGAATAAAAAAAATGTTAATACACTGAAATTAATGAAGAGAGAGAAAAATGAAAAAAATAACGACAGTGGGGTCGCTATAAGATTCCTTATAGGATCTTGTCCGGCTAACGTGTTCTGGTTTTGTGTGCAGTGGGTGTCCGATGGCTCGCCGACCCATAGCAGCACACCAGTCAAGATTGAGAGTGCGCTTCAATTCGTGCCGAAGAATACCAATCCAAAGGAATTCAAACAGCTTCAGCAGCAGGTAAGTGAAGAAACGTTGTTTTTCCATATACGAATAGAGGAATTAAACTGATCATTATATTTGACTGGATCATTGTTACCTCAGGTAGCCAAACCGTAGAGAGGCCTTCAGCGCATTATTTTCCTTATCATTCTTTCACTTTCTGTAACCAGATAAAAGATTATCGCAGAGCAGACAAAATCTCGGCTGGACCGCAGTCTCATATCTTGGAAGGCGTTTCGTGGGACGAGGCCAAAAAGATGCAGGTAAGACTAAAACTACCTTTGCATCTGGATCAATTCATGCTTTTCACTCTTTATCAATATTTCAATTTCTTATTATTTTTTCTTAAGGATGCTACTATCAGTGGCACTGGCGAACAAGTAGTTCTGGTTGGAGCTGCCAGCAAGGGTATCATTCAAAGAGGATTCCAGCACAATGCCATGGTCTACAAGACGCCGTATGCGAAGAATCCTTTCGACGCCATCACAGATCAAGAACTCGATCAATACAAAAAGGACGTTGAACGAAAACAAAAGGGCGATCCTTGTGAGTTAATCTTTTGGAAGATTTTTTTATAATTTACATCTATGGGGAACGTTCTTTAAAATGACAATGTTACTTGTAACAGACGATGAATCACAATCCGAATCCGAGGCCTTGTCATCCTTTAACGTAAGTCGTGCGACACACGAATCAAGTACTGCCAAGAGTCCGATACAATCGCCAGTTTCTGTGACATCGGAAACGGAAGAGGAAAGCAGGGACGGTTAGTCAAAGTTTTGTTCATTTTTGTTTGGCCATAGCTACTTGTAGCTGTTAAGAAAAAAATTGATATATTTTTTTTCTATACATTTACTTACTAAATTATCTTCGTTTGTACATTTCAGAACCACGAGTATTACGGATAGAAACGAAACAGGTGCCTGCGCCGAGTCAACCGGAAGTCGTTCTGAGTGATGGTGAGCTGACGATTTCTTTGATCGTTAAAATGACTTGGGCTATTTAGCTTTTTTATTATTTAATTCGTTACTTTCGATTAATAACATCGACATCCTTTAGAAACTTATTAATTTCGTTATATTTACTCCTCATTAGAATTTCCCTCTTAATAGCCCCTTTTTGTTCTTGTAATACTTTTTATCGATTTTATTGTTCAGACCTTTTGTTAGTTATAGACAGTGCATGATTCTCTAGATTAATACGTTTCTTCGTTACATTGTTGTGAAAAGTTCTCTGCACGAGGTTTGTTTTGTATGTTCGAATGACGAACTTGCTAAATCTTAAACTCAAAAGTACTACAGTAAGAATTGTGAAGGTATATTCGTTTTTCTAATCGGAGAAACTACACGACATAGTCCGATATCATGAATTTTCATGATCACAATTTTAATATTATTTTGCATTTAAGTATCGTTCTACCAGAGAGTATCGATTTTTATGTATACGAATTTACGTTAATTACGTAATATTGATGAAGTTTGTCATTCGCAATTGCGTGGCTGTTGCGACGACTTGTAAAAAAGGTTCTCGTGCCTCGTGCATATACAATTACATGTCAGGGTTGCACGTATGGTAAAAAAAACAGTGTACAGGAAAATAATGCATGAGTTGAAAATTGCATGAGCATGGCGACGGTTTGTGACGCAGATTCGACGGCGGTGTCTGTGGAAACTCCTCTTGTACATCAGTCTCGGATCCGGTCTGAGGAGGAGGGTCCAAAAATGTTAAGTCACCAAAAAAAGCTAGGTGAGCTGCTTAAAGTGAAGACGAGTAACTTAAAAAAAAAAAATCCGCGACAAAAATTAATATTTTGCATTTCGAAGATCTTTTTCGCAGTATTGCATCGTAGTTTGTTATTATATTTTTTAATACATGCATGTCACCCGTAACACGGTATCGCGCATGGTAAAAGGTATTTGAAGGGAAAAAGTAGTAGAGTTTTAACGTTTCGAATTTTCGTTTATATTTGTTATTTCCCACGTCTAAAAATTTTGCACCGTTGGACCACTAATAATCCATTAGCACAGTTGTACGAGGGAAATGTAAATTTACTATTAGTCTATTTCCTCAAAATATTGTTTTACCCTTGTTACGTGCACGTGTTTGTTGTCCTGTTTTCGAAATCCAGTGGATGCGACTACAGAGTTCCTTAACGAGATGCGACGCACAGCGGTTGACCCACGAAACGATCTCAACAGACGAGGTAAGATCCTTGCAAGCTCATTGGCTAAAAATTAATTGTTCGATTTGTGCATGTAACGAAATTTTTCAATGCTTCTCGTTTGGTGGCTTTTTAAAAGGGCTTTCTATCTCTTTCTCTTCGCGAGGGACACATAACTTGGCTTGTTAAGCTTCTATCTATCCCCGAGGGCGTCAAAGTGTCACGACTTGCTCGAAATACGATTATTCGAATAGAGGGAAATAATGTTTAATAATTAATTTCTTGCATAACTCGAGCAACTCGTGACCGAGACCAATGACGTTTCTAACATAAGTATTAAGAGACAGGGATATTATCAATGAGATAAGCACGAGAGAGAAATCGCGTTGCATGTTTGAGGTGTGTTTGGCCAATGTGGTTGCAGATTCTCGTAGAAGCAGCTGCAGCAGTGATAAGTACTACGACGGGCCCCGTCCAGAGTACTATAGAGCTCTCGAACGTGCCAATTTAATATTTACAAGGCATAACAAGGAGCAGACAATTGGATCCGAGGACTCGAATTTAGAGTCCTATAATGACGACAGCACGATCTCGAATTTCGAGAGGTCGTATTTCACGAGCGACGGGCCCCGTCTAGAGGTCGCTAGGAGTGCTTTTATCGCTGAACGCATGACACCCGTACTCACTGAAATCACTAAATCATCAGCAGCATCGCGTTGCACGCGTTACGAAACTCTGCGTGCCATTCAACGACCCCCTGTGCCACCCAAGCCTAACCGCCATCTTGCATTGAGACGAGCATTTTTCGACGACTTTCAAAAAACGAAGACACCGATGCCCTCGGCCATTCAGGAACGCTTCGAGAGATTTGTCGCGAAGAAAACTCGGTCCTCCGACGATTGGTTTCGTACGGTTTTTCAACACGTACCCAATTTCTTGGAGAAAAAGAATCAAGGTGGCATTGGCAGCTCCGTTCTTACGAATCGCGCCAACTTTAAGGAAAACGTCTTGCGCTTTGAGCAGCTTGCTAGAAGTTGTTTGAAGGATGGGAACTTCGTTGACAGGAATGACAGGAAAGTTTTGGAAACTTGTAACAGGGATTTTAGCAGCACCGTTTTTACTGGCAGATCTACTTGGGAAAATGGGAATGAGAGGTGGTTAGGTGAATCGGTTCCTGTGAATTGTTCCCTTCGAAATAACGTTGCGATTAATTTTTTCGAGAGAATTGACACTCCTTTGTATAACATTGGGGATACTGTTAAAATCGTGGATTACTCTGTGAGTCTGAAACCCATTGCGAATTTCGTTGAAAAGGTTCGACTTGACGATATGGCGAAGGATCATTTGAAAATTGTTGAATCGTCCAAGAATACGAATATCAACGACGAATGTCTTTCGTGGAAAAATGTTTGTCCGACCAACGAAAAGAAGTTGGGGAATTTTATAAATGAAAATGATTTGACTGTTCGCCATGCTGAAACTTCGATGATCCTTAACAATGCTCCAGATAGCTCTGATAAAAATGGTAATATATGTGAAATTTCAAAGTCGAAAGAGTTTTTAAAAATTCCATACACAGAGGCTTCGTCGATTTCTGGGGTTATTGAAATAATTAAAAACATTAATAATATAAATGCCATTGATTCCAACGCAGACAAGATAGAAGCTGGGATTGTCGATGACAAAATTGTCACTGATGTTGAAATGCAGGAAATGCATATCAGTGAAAGTCAACTCGATAAAAATGGAAATTCGTGCTTAGCCAGTGTCAACGTAGAGCAGAAAAGTCCAAGCGAAAAAAGGTACGACGATCAAATTGGCATTAGTCAACTAGAAAATGTAGAGAATGATGAGCATTTTATGACTGACAATTCTGAAAATATTCAGCACATCAACCTCACGGAAGACCAAGACGTAGAGACGCATAAAAGGGACGAGATAAATCTTCTGTGTCTAGAGAAATTTCAGGATGACTTGGAATTCCTAAATGATCCAGATATCCGTCCAATTGACGATTCACTGAACGAAGAGGATGATTGTCAAATCATCAAAGAAATTATATACTTAAAGGGTGTCGAAAATTCAGCATCAAGTAATTCTATTGAAACGAAATTGAAAGGTGCCAGTAATGCCATTGAAGAGTCTACAAAAAAGATAGTTGAAAATGATTGTGACATATTCAAATACCCAGGAAAGAATTTTCAAAAGCAGGACAGCATCACAGAAGTGATAAATAGTATGAATGCTGATTTGACACCAACCAAAATGTGCCTCGACATTCTGCCAGAAACAGACATATCCTTGAAGTATAATCTGGATTCGACTAACATGAGTCTCATTTACAGCCTAACTCCCACAGGAATGAGTGACACCTGTTCCAACAAGGATGACGAGTCCTTAGATCTTCCAAAGAGCGACGCGGGTTCCAGTATACACGACGAAGTCTCTGAATTCATCTGGCAGGATCTGGTAACCAGTACTCGTCGTGAGACTACACCTGATGGCAGTCTTGATCTTAATAAGACCATAGACTTATTCGAAAGCTCCTTCGAGTCATGCTCAGAGCAAGGATCTGACATTTTGGAATTGCCATTGTCTACTGTCAGGGAAATAAAGGACACCGAGGAAGAATCTTTTCTTAATGATATAAGTCACTCCGCTGATCAGATTATTGCTGATCTGAAGGATATAGAGATTTTCTCTAAGGCTGCGCTGCTGGTTGATCAAATTGTTGCAGATGTAAACTGGTTAGTCTATGGGATCAATTGGCAGAGTTGTGAGAATAAGAGTATTGAAAATTATATAAGGAATAAAATTATGGGGCTATATGTTTCTAAAGACATTGTACACTCCATAGTGGATGCAATTCCTTTCGATACTAGTGCACCGATACAAGATATTGGCATCGAAAGCAATAATGACAGTGATCCTGTTATTTTTAATGCTGTAAGGCAATCTCCTGTATTATTTATAGAGACTGCGAAAGCTGAGCATGACAAACAGCAAGATAAATATATGAATATTCGTGGTTCCTTATATTTGATAATGGATGAGTATTCTGAAAGTGATACTAGAAGAGAAGATAATACAATCAACTTGGAAGGTAACAATAACTACAACGATACACAAACTGTGGAAACTGATGATGGCCCAAATAACGATGTAAATGATTTAGAAGAGATTTCCAAGAATCAAGAGGAAGATACTTCATTCTTGGAATTGTCTCGAGATAATCCTGAAGAAATATCTCAGGAAAGTAAAGAAAGAGAAATGACTGATGATTCTTCTGATATTTTGGAAAAGGAAATAAGTGAAGATAATGATATCTCTAATAGCACCGAAAATGTCATCGTTATCGAAGAAATAGTTCACCACGTGATAGACAAATTCTATTTTGACAAATCTACGTCCGAAACGTCTGGCGAATTTTTTGACTTGAAGAAAGTCAAGGAATCCGCCAACATAGAGTTGAAAGTAATGCAAGAGTGTTTCAGAATCGAAATTGATGATATTCCAACGGAAGAAACAATTGGTGATGTCAACGTTTCAGAAGATGACGAATTTTCAAAAATGAGTGACAAATCTGAAATATCGGCCAGCGTCAACGTGAAAATCTCATCCGATAAGACAGATGACGAAACAAGCGTGTCCGATCATTCAAAGGTATCGGACAATGAAGAGGAATTAGGTGTAAAATTATCAAAAAATGAAAATATTTCAGAAGCTACAATAAACTTTGTGGACGTAGAGATTTCTTTGGAGGAAAATGATGAGATTGAGCCAGAAAATGTTGAAATAGAAATTCCAGAAATTCATTTCGAAGCAGATACACTGTGTACTGGAAATATTAATGATAAACCTGAAACAAATCATTTTGACTCGTCTAATGATTCGACCCCGGTCAGTGGCTATTCACAATCTGAGCATGCAGGTAAGCAAGATCATTTACAGGAAACAAATTTTGAAAAACCTGCAGAAGCGGATGGCAAACCGTATTCGATTACGTCATCTTCATTTGTCCCCGAAAGTGACACCAACGAGCAGAATTTAACTGGTTTTGTTTTGGAATTTGTTACTCGGGCAAAAAAACGGGACGATACTGACTTGTTATTAAATTTTGAAGTACAGAAAAATCCATCGCCGGCGAACAGTTACAACGAGGAGTTTACCTGCTTTGATTTTGAGTCCTTCGAGGAGCACTTGATCAATGAAGAATATAAGAGATCAGCAACCAAGGAGAAGGAAGTAAATTTATCGAAGAAGGGACCCGTGGATGAGGAAAAGAAAATTTTGGATTCCTCGTCGACCGAGGTAACCTCTTCGAATTCCGATCATTTTGCTGAAACTGAATTGACGTCCGATAGCGATACGAAATCGGATAATGGCCACGAGAAAAATTTCAAGAAGATCGATTTCTGCTTGATCGAATATATTGGCGAGAAACAGGATGCTGTTCAAAATGAAGATGCAGAAAACATGGAAAATAATGATGAACCATTTTACATGCAATTTGAGGAAGTCGATCACGTTGCAGAATGCACGAGATGCACTTGCTGCTTAGAAGTTTTCAAATTGGATTACTCTTCGCCGGGGCAGCTTCCCCCAATCACCGAAGAAATTTTTGATGAAGAATCTCATCAAAGTAATTGCAATCAAGATGATGAGGTATCATCGACAAAAAGTGAAGAGCGGATCGAAAATAGTAATAATGAGGTTGTTAACGAAGCTAATGAAAATAATTTAAAGGAAAACGACGAGAATCACGAAGAAGAAAAAACGAGCCTATCTAATAATTCATTAATTAGCGTCGAATCTTCAAAAGCTACGGATTATTTATCGTGTAAGGAAGATTCGAGTGTGTTCCTGTCACTTCAGAATACAACCGGAAGCATAACAAGTAAAAATACATCTGACTGTCTTGACGAATCCGAAGATCCGGAAATGCGTAAATCAGGAAATACTCAAGAGGAAGATGGCGATGATTTAGAAAACGACGATAACTCCGACAGTAAACTCGATGCAACATACACGATATCGGACGTGAGCGAAATTGACAACGAAGATTTTGAGAAGATTTGCGAAGCCGATGTATCTAATAATATAGATGAAACTGGTAGAGGTTCTTTTACTTTCAACCGGAAGTCAGACTCTTCGCTGTCAGATGTGATCAATTTTAATATCGATGATCGGCACTTCGATACTACGTTGAATTTTGCAGACGTATCTTCAAATACTTTGTACTCTGAAGTCTTGAAGAATCCACTGAGACCAGTTGAAGACTCTTCAGAAAATTCTGATGAGAATGTTAAGTTGGCTGTGAGCAAAGATGAAATTGATAGCAACCTAGAGGAAGATGACAAAAGGAAGACTCTTAAGAGACGGCAAACATTGTCGAATTTGAAAAATTGTGAGGAATTCGATGACGAAGATCCTCGTGAAGAAGTTTCAAGTAATACACATTGTACCGCTAAGAGGCTAAAATCTTCAGATATAAATGTTATCGACGAGTCTTCAGAGCCTGAAGAAGAGCCCAGTAGCTGTATGACATATTCATACGATACTCGAGAATTTATGAAGCTCGAATTGGCTCTTTTGAATGATAACGACGATAACAATTTTTCTTATAATCCTAATTCAGGTCAGTTATCTGTCAGCGAACGGTCTGAGGTTCGCTGTGAATTGGATATCGTCAGTTTTAGTATTTCGCCATTAAACCCACTGCCAAAATATGAAGACACCACTCTGTATAAAATTGTGTCAAATATTAATTTGACAGACACAGTTGGCAGCGATATGCCAAACTGCGAGGAGGGTCATTTACCGTGAAGGAAAATGAATCCTGTTTCTTTGTTTTTCCAAGTTTTTGGGAATTTTGAACATTAGCACTTTGGGACAGGAAGCGTCCCGTTCTCGAAAGAGCGAACGTGTCGGATCAAGAGACGCGTGAATGAGAAACGTACGTTTTTTTTTTTTTTCATTTCTAGAAAATTGACAATTTTTGATACAGTCAATTTTGGAAAGTTCGTTTTGCTAAAAACTTTCTCTCAAATTACAATCGAAATTTAGGTGAATCGTTTTTCTTACTTTGCCATTTAATTCTCGACGATTCGAAAATTCGTAGGACCGAGTTTTCTTCTTCAATCGGCAAAGAAAAGATAAATATTAATATATAACAAGAGTTTACTTTTAGTTTCTATAAAATACGGTGTGACCGAATTGTTTTTTATAAACTACGAAAATACTATAAATCGAATGCGCGCGAATACATTCGAATTCTTAATTTTTCCTTGAATTACGTAATTTGTTAACATTTGTAAAAATGTAATGGTAATTGCTTCCACGGATCATAATAATTTATTGTTCTAATTTCAAGCAAGGCAAATTACCTGCTGAATTGTATTTAGTCTATAATTGCACTTTTTTTTTTCTTTATTTCCTACCACTATTAATTATTTCTGCATTTCACGTTAATTATACCTTTTTCTTCCTTTTTCCTCGAATTGTTTGATCGTAAAAATAATTGCCATTATATTTCGCAAAAAATGCGTCTTTCGCATTATTCACACGCTGTACATACGCGGCTTTAATGTAACGCAAATCAAAGAGTGATGTGCTTTTTTTGTTCTACGATCTAAAATAATAATAATAAAAAAAAGAAAAGAATCATTCCCAGCACGCTTCAAAATGTTTAATGAATTTGTCTGCGCAGTCGTGAAAGAAAAGGGATGCTTTTGCTGCTTTCCTGCAAAAATTAAATTCCCATAAAAAGAACATGTCACAAATCATAATACATTTTGCAATAATTTTTTGAAAATAATTTACAAAATAACAAATTAAATCAACACATCTTTTTAAGTTACCCAATGATTTTTAATGGCAAGCTTGAAATATCCTTCAAAAAATACTTTTCTTTGACGTCTTCACAATCATTCTTTTTTCTTCTTTAATTTCTTTTTCTCTACTCGCAATCGATAGCAATCAGTCTAAATGGAAAGTTTTGACCAATAATTTTTGTTAAAAAAACATCTTAAACACCATATTGCAATCGATTTCGAGATCTGACGTATTTAACTATCACCTCAGTGTACACCGAATGATCCTATATACACGGTAATCAAAAAGAACCCATTCTATGAGTGGATATTGTTTTTAAATACTTAAATGACGAATGTCTGTCAAATATTTATTATTTAATATACAATATTCTTGGTTGAAGATTAAAATGACTTTCTGTGCTTAACGATCATCTAAAAAAATTGAATGACTAGAAAATTTGTTCTTTTCGATTACTTAGCTTTATCATTGCACTTATCTGCCTGTTGATATATGGTTACGGATGAGAATAATTAACGCTGCTATAGCGAAGTCTGATTAAAGCGAAATATCAACTTTACTAACCGAAGGTAAGGATGTCTTCCAATATTTCCCAAAAGTTCTGTCTGCATGGTCATGTTTCTCCTACTCTGATCCTTATTCCGGTTTACAATTCTGTCTTCTAAGATTTAAGATGTTTCGAGGGGAATAGAATATTTGATGGTAATTCGGGAGCAATATACGGGCACTAACTTCTCTTGTGGTTGTATAATTTGTCTTTCTTTTTTGTTTAACATTCTTTGATTTTGGAAAATTCTTTAATACAGTTTTTGAATTTCAGGAGAGAACACTGTAAATGGCGATCACTCGGATGCACACCACAGTACGTTTTCACAGAGCAGCAAGGAGGTTTGTTTAAAAATTTTGAAAAAAAAATCAAAATTATATATATATGTACAATCCACCACTCAAAACTCACCGTCTCGCACTTCCGTCATTCATATACGCGAGTTGTCAAAAATCGTCGGCATTCCTATCACTTAACAATGATATATTTTAATATATTTTGTTGACATATAAGATTTGGAAAATCATGACGAATTTTGGGAGCCTGCAATAATCATCATATTTCTGTGTACTGCAATATTCGTATTTTACTCGTATTTAATTATATACATTTTATTTGTCCTATCTCATCTTCATCTATGCAATCCGGAATCGAAAAATTGTAAAGAGAAAAAAAAAATGGAATTTCGATATACGGTTAAAAAATATTACGGTTAAAAAAAATTTCTATAAAAGAAATTCTTTTTCGATTCCTCGGATAAATTTCATGTGATATTCATAAGAAGAAAGCTAGCATTTCTATTAAACAATTTTTTATTTCGCCTAAGAGCCAAAGCCAAAGATTATTTGTTTGTACCAAAAAAGTTATTTTTGGATAATATTCAAGGAATACCATTAAATTTCACACCTATCAAAATACAGCAGACAGAGATTCATATGAAACTATGTTTATACTTTTGCTCAGTCCACACATGACTTTTCTGGAAGGCAGATTGAAACTAGTCAATCTTGCATGGCGCTTCAAAAAGCAAGCTAGAGACAGTAAAAGAAAACTAAGTAAATACTAACGAAAGAAAAAAAAGTATATGAAAATGAAAGGCTTTCTAACCGAAAATCCTTAATGGCGATTTAGTGAAGAGACGATAGAGTTTGGTTATGGGGTTGCACGTTGCATGAAGAGGTTTAAGGTTATCGGTTGGGACCTTCCATGTTAAGGGTTCCATGTCGCAGGACGTGAGCGTTAGCGAGGAGTCGCCGAAGAAGGAGAAAAAGAAGAAGAAGGGCCTGAGAACGCCATCCTTCCTGAAAAAGAAGAAGGAGAAGAAGAAGTCCGTCGAGGCGTAGGTAGTCCTCGAAACAGGTTGGTATTGCATAATTAAAAAATAAATTCATCTTCCTTCATTTTTTCCTTGACTCTTATCGGTAACGACGACAGCCATGGCAGCCACAGCAACGAGGAAAGAAATCAATTTTAGCAGGATTAGATGAATCTAGAAAGTAATACTTAGAGACTTAGAAAGAGAAAAATAGTGGATAAGAAAAATCATTGTTTCACTATAAAAATCATCTACCACACGTATTTTCTTTGAATCATATCAACAGTTGAATTCTCTTGTTAAAGTGGAACAAATATTTTTCTTCTCTACCAACCAGCTTCTACTTAGACTTGAAGAGTATTGCCTTATATATAGTGAAGAATTATATACATAGCTGACTGCTTAGATTCATTGTACACATTAAAATAGAACAGCTGCTGATCCGCTGTCTTTATTTGCTGGCTACGAATTTAAGAGTCGTAATCATTTTTACTAGAACTTTTGTTCCTGTCATGGCGACTAGCAGCTCCTTTAGTCTTGATTATAAATTGGCTATCCCATCGAATCCATACTCTTAGTAAGCTAATACTCGTAAGACCTATAAGATCACTTGATATGCGTTTCAAAATTGTTTTTACATTTTTTAATATATTAAAATTTGCTTCTTTTTTTTTCTATTTCAGACACTGCCACAAACACAAGCTTACCATAAGTAATGTAAACGGATAAGAGATTTATGCAACGCGAAATAACGGAGGGAGATGGACAACGCCGAGATTCTGTATGGCTCGAGACGAAGAACGAAAAATTCGACAAGGATAAACGATAAAATGTTTTAAACTGCGATGCTGACGTCTGGGGCTGCACGATTAACGAATTTGTGGTTGGCGAAGAGGACCGAAAGGTTTTAGGGAGAAGGAGAGAGCGAAATGAAAAGTGATGAAAGTGACGGAGCGAAAGGACGAGGTAGAATGAAAGGAAAAAAATTAAAGAAAGACGAAGGCACGACACAGAAAATTATAATTAACGAAGCCAACTCGAATAAGATTGACGGGAAAATTTTATTATTATTTTTCATCTTTCCCTTATGGACGCAAAGACTGTCGACGTTATAACTTTTATTGTTATTATTATTATTAACGTTGTTAGTATTATCGCTATTTTTATTCCAATCCTCCGATTAACGTCTGCAGAAACGAGGAAAATAATCAGATATTAAGTGCGAGCTACTTTTATTCTTGTTTATCACGTCTCTTGACTTTTTTTGCCATTTTCCTCGTGTGAATTCTACCTTATGATTTTTTTATTCAGGATGCGGCTGTCGTTTTTGATCATATATATTTTTTTTCTTTTTCTCCAGTGGGACCGTTTTATACATATTTTTATATGTGTATGGTGTCTCGAGGTTTTTTTTGTGTGACGATTATTGCTCATGGCAGTGATCTTCATTTACTTCTCGTCATTCTTCTTCTCTTCACTGAACCTTTTCAGAACTTTAGTTATACTTTTATTTTTCGTTCTTATACTACCTCTTGACTAAACGCAAGAACACGTGAAAACGTTGTGATATTGTTTTGTTTGACTTGAGACTCGAGTTATAAGAAAATATATATCGATAAGAGAAAACTCAAAGTTGGAAACTGATAACGAAAGATGTTAATAGTGTCAAGACGAGCGAGAGAAATTTTAATAGCACAATCCGACTAGCGCAGAGAGATTAGTGTTATTTAGTGCAGTAAAAAAAATATCTTAAATGAAATTGTGAATTCGTATTTCTATTTTGAAATATATCACGTCAGTTTTGATTGGCGACCGACCCAGGAAAAAGTTTTAATACGAGGAATTAATAAGAATTGGATAATCTTGTGTCACTTTTTATTCGTTCCTCCTCTGCGAATAATGGCCTAGCGTTACAAACGTCGTTCAAGCGTATTTGTGTTTGGGACAAATTTAAAAGAAACAAAAAAAAGAGGATGTATATGAAAAATTGACGAAAAGCTGGTTTCAAGGGGGAGACAAGAATCATGGTGTGAACGCATCCTGATTAATGCTTTTGTAAAAAGAAAATTACGCTCTTTTCTCTTGCCTCTCTTTCGCACCTATCTCTTGTCTGTTTAGCGTGCGAATTAAGAGATGGATTAGATGGGGG